AAGTGCAAGTTCATTTAAACAAAACAAAGGGTCTCTTTAGCACTGGAAAAAAGTAAACCGGCAACTAGTGTTGCTGTTGCATGCATGCATTTTTCTCCAAAAACACACAACCTGACTTACTCACAAATTACTTCATGAGCCATTTCCATTTGGGAGAAGTTACATACTTTGGGGTGCTGTCTGCATGCAAATATGCTCCCTTACACTGCAAGTACAGTAACTGTTACAATAGAGGGTACCACATAGGAAAAAGCATCTCTGAGATAAGGTTATTCTAATAAAGGCTAAATTAAGTTTGAGGAAAATTGGTTCATAATATTTTGAAATGATATGTCAACATTTGAATTAGAAATAAATAAATAGGATTATTTGTGTCTCATCTGAGAGCGAACAGGCATTTGGGCACCACTGTTTTAACTGTGGGGTGTATCCCCTTAGGCAGCTTGGAGAAATGTCCAGGGGGTGGGGAGGGAGCACTGCTCTTGTCCTGGCCCTGCCCCCACCCCCATCTGCAGCTCGGGCTCCTAGCCACGGCCCTGCTCCCAGCCACAGATCCAGCTGCAGCTCTAGCCTTGGCTCACAGCTTTGCTCCTGACCAAAGCTTCCAAGGGGGAAGCTCAGACAGGTTCCATTATGGGTAAGGGGCAGGGGCTCAATGGAAAAAGTTTGGGGATCACTACATTAGAACATTGGGAAGTCTCTATCACTGGGGCACTCCACTTTAAAATCAACTGCTCATAGCTTCAGAATTACTGAACCAATTTCCTTCATATTTTGACTTGTTTTGTACATCATGGAGTACATCTACACTTCAAGCTGGGAATCAGACTCCCCTCTCTGAGACATACCTGTGATAGGTCTGTAGCCTCTGCACCACAGTGGGCTAGTTGCCCTTAATATGTGCCTACTGTCTTGGATAGATATGTTGGGTGAGTAACCCCTCCTGTTGCTTGCACAGCTATGGCTACACTCTATTTTTAGCGCACTAGCTCGATCGGGTTAGGACAGATGTGCCCTCAAGATGGGAATCACACCCCAGTTTGAAGTGTAGATGTAGTGGTGCAGCAGCACCACTAAAGTTTGACTTTTTGAAGTCTTCCAAAATCAACATGCTCAGCTGGATTCCTTTGAAATTTGGTGTGCCTTTGGATCACTATTCTTACTCTGCATCCTCCTAATATGGGGTCACTTGATCTAGGGGTTGTGGAGATTCTAGGTGAGTATTTTTGTGCAGAGCTAGAGATCTGGGGGTCAAAATGTCTGTTGAATTTTACCCAAGGTAGCGCATGACACCCACTAAATCTTTGGGTTACTCAAATTGAGAACAATATTTAAGAATGTACTTTTTTTTATAGTGCACATGCACAAATACAGGAAAAAAAGCTAGAGTGCTTCTCTTCTCACCATTTTATGTGCTTTAAAGCTTGACTCCTGTAAGCGCTCTAAAATCCAAGCGATTGCTTTAAAATTTGGTGTGCCTCAGGGTGCAGGGTATCATTAGTGATCCAAGTATGGGGTCATTTGGGTTCCTGAGTTAAAGACATTCCCCCTCTTCCCCCCGCCCCCAAAGTTTTCCTCCTTCTGCCTTGTGTTGTACTGTTAAACTGAAAGGCACTAATGACTGGATGAGATCAAACTATTGCTGTGATCTAGGTCAAACTGGTCTCAGTTGGTTAGTGGGTGTGTGGTTTTTTTAAACCCAGGGCAGTGCATGGCACTCACTAAGTCTCTGGGGGATCCACCTGTGAATGGTTTTTAAAGAATTTTTTCACTTGCACAGATGTGCAGTCTGGAAGGATTACAGTGCAAATGCTCCAGTCAAGAAAAAAAACAAGAGGGTTTCTACAGAGCCATTTCATGCTTCCCTTGGAAGTACAAGGGAATGTGCCAATGCAATTTCCCCCAGTGAACAACCTGCCACTGATGTTTCTAGTTCAGGCCTTTGTATAGCTGTGCAATAAAGGCTTAACAACTCATGTGGCTTGCTGCAAGTTGTCTATTATATCATGTGTGTTTATTTTGTGGGGAGGTTGACTGTGAAGACAGCAGAATAGTCTAACCAAAATTTTTATGTTGGCTGGGGAAAAGCCAGAGACAAATATCTGTGTATGACAGACAAAAGAATGGGGACAGGGAGAGGAGTTGTGGCTGCGGAGGAGGGCAGGAAATGAGGATGGGTGGTAGGCAAGCCTTGAACTGGTTGTTTGGGAAAACCTGTATTTTACTAGCCCCGGGGAGGGGCAGGGTCAAGGGCAGCAAGTGGCTACTTTCTGATCTTGGGGCAGATCTGTGTGGGGGGGTTTTTTGTTTTTCCTCTCCAAGACACATAGCATGGAAGCTTGGAACTGAAGCACAGGCACCTGGACTTCTGAGGGTGAATAAATGTGCGTGCTGCCAGGCTTCCTACTGCATAGATTCTGGGTGATTCCTGGATCATGATGTTGCAGAAGTTTGAATGAGAGCAAGGAGTACACCATAACAGGGGATTGCTGATTTGGGTGGAGAGAGATGGCTTGTGTCGGCATCAAGTCTTGCCCACTTTATAGCATCTAACTGGTGATGAAGAGGTGGTGATCTGTTGGACATTGTGGTGGTTTACTTGGATGGAAATGATCTGGACCATATTCCTGGTGTACACGTCGGACAAAGTATGAAAAGATTTGGACCACATCAGAGATTGGTGTCTGAGAGCTGTGAAAGTTTTTTTTCCTCTATCTGAGCATCTGACTAATGACTACGGGGCAATGTGAAAACTAGTAGTAAGTGTTGGAAGAACATTAATTGGGAAATTGGAGGGTTCATGGATGACTGGAAAATGTGTACTGTTTGCCATAGAAACATTACAAGCTCTGTCGCCTCACTGTTTCTTGGAGATAAGGTACATCCGTTGGACTGGTATCAGAGGATCTTTTTCTCAGACATAAGGTTTTTGTTCCCAAATACGGATAATTTTATCTCTTGTGTGGCAGTGCCCAGCACTTCACCTTCCAATCCTTCTGAAACATGGCCAGGAATGCCAGTCCACTAGAACAGATCTTCCCTCCAGTACTCCAGGGGAGCCATGCTGTTGGGGGTAGAGGTTAGAGGTGGGAAGTAACAGCAATAGAAATGTTGGGATATCCGGGAGTATCCCTGCTTGTTTGTGAGGGCCAGGGTGCAGTAGTGGGAAGGGGGCCAGGTTGGAGGGGGAAATGCAGTGAATGGGTCAGTGGTATGGTTGTGGATGTGTCAAAGCGGGGCTGGTGGGGCCTTTGTGGCTGGGGTGGTTAGGCCTTGCTGGCTTGATATGTACAACTGCCTAAATGACTGACTATTAATTCCTACCAACAACTTATCTTTGCCTGTTCAAAAAGCTAAAATTCTTTGTCAATAAACTACGTTAATGCAGAGTGAAGATTACTTGGTGGTATGTCATATCCTTGCTGAGTTGAGCAAAACTCAAATTTCTGAAACATGAAATGTACAGTTAAGGTGCCCATGCAACCTTAACTCTGCTGTCTTTTAGCAGTGTACCAATATACTCCATTAATAACTTTATTCTGCAAACCCCACAGTTTCTCTTCCCCTCTTTTTTACAACACATTCACTCTCACCCACAGGATTCCATCTAACACTATTAAAGGTTCGTTTAAAAGTTGTCTATGCCACCTTCCCTCTATTCTCTTTGAGCAATACCTCATGCTGGCCTGTGGCACTATAAAATTCAGGAGGTTCCAGATCTTGGCATAGGCTCTCACACTTGGTCAACTCCCCAGAAAGAATACCACACATGTACAATTTAAGAATTGCTTCACAGCCTTTTATACCTCTTACACAGGATAACATCTCAACCTACACTCTACTTAGCCATCATAAGAATCATTTCATATTCCACCTCACTGCTGACAATACCTCTTGTAATAACCTACATAATTCTGCATAGAAATTATTCATACTGCCTGCTGAAGTATGCACCTCTTCCCAGTCTTCACATAAAGGAGCAAGATACAGATCTCTTCATACACGATCACAGCTCTGTCACGCACCTCAAAGTATTTCACACATTTAGCAAACAGGCCCAACTACTGCTTCCACCAGTTAGTATATGTACACCTAACACACTGACTGCAGCTGGAGTGTATGCAAATAATTCCAATTGGCTATTGCCAGCTCCAGGGGAACAGAGGGAAGGTGGTGTGGGCATTTTCTTCTCCCCCCACTCCCCCTTTCTATTTAAAAAAAAAAAAGATTCCTAGGACATTCTAGAAAAAGATGCTGACTGTTAGACCATTATTACCATGTGTGAAATATTAGTCAGTCTTGGTTAAGCAGCTGTGTCTTAATTAGACTTAAGGTCTTCAAAATACACTTAAAAGCTATTTCTATACACTGGTCTCTTAAGACAGTTGAATATTGCCTTTGAATGTATTTAAATCCTTTAATTACTATGAGTTATCCTGTCTTTTGTTTGGCTTCTCTTGTGAAAGGGTTGGATTATTTTTGGGATACAGGAATGTAAATGGAGTTCAGTATGGAACATCTAGTTGGGGGGTGTGTGTGTGTGTGTGTTTTCTTCTCCCTCTTCCCCCCCCCCCCCCCATGGTGTATGGGAATTTAGTTTTGCAAATCCCTGTAACTTCTATTGAAGTCAAATGGTTAAATCCCTGAGAATGGTTCTGAAATAATAGTTTCATAACTGGAGCCTTTGTCTGCAATGTCTGTCTAGAAAATATCTAAGAATGTCCAAAACATTGTTTGCACTTCTTCCCCACCTCTCCTCCCCTTTCCCCTCTGTGTTCAGTCTGCACCTTTCACTATTTAATAGGGCAACTCAAATGGCTGCTTAATATATCACTGTTTTACATCTGAAGGTTATTGTGTTCTGTGTAGCACTATATTTTATTTTTGTTTCTACTTAAAATACTATCTTGGAGGCTGAAAATTCTTTTTGCAGCTACTTAAACAAAATAGTTTAATCAATGTCTGGACTGAGACAATAATTCTGCCATTCCAATTAACAGGCTGAAGAATAATGGCTACCATCAACACACTGATTACTGGCATTGCTGTTGCCAGTTTTACCATATTTCAGCTTCTGTTCCATGTTCTAAGTTCTTGGGCATCAACAAGAATAACTCCTGCTTTTAATAATCTCAGCCAAAAAAGGAAGATTGAATGGAATTCAAGGTAAAGTGTTTAAAACGAAATACAAATGATGAATTGATTCAGAAATTTAGCAGTTTTTAAGCTCCCAAATATATAACCGCATATAACTGAGGATGTAAAAAGTATGAAAATACATGTTAAACCAAAAATTTCTATAGCACCTGACAGATTCTGAATTCAGGATTCTGGGTTTGTTTGAACAGATGACATTACAAATGCTCCTGTAGATCATAAATGCCTTTTAAAAGAATACAGGATGAAGTTTGAATTAAAAGTTTAAAAAGCAATGAAAGGCTAAGGTGAGAAGCAATATTTAATGAATTTGAATGTTTCTTCATTGTAACGCAGTTTAGAAAAGGGAAGAGACTAGAAGGTCTTTTTTTTCTTTCCTCCCTGCATCTCCCAAAACATATGAGAAGATCTAAGCAAAATTTCCTCCAGTTTACTGTAAATGCTGGATTACAACTGGCTTTAAGGAGTTCAAAGAAGGAATGTGTATGTAAGAGGTCATCTTTCTTTGAATAGTGCCCATCTTATGGGTGCTCTGCTTCACATGCATGTAACCCTTCTGCCGGTCAGTGTTGGCAGCAACAAGGGCCAGGTTTAGTATCTAGGGGTTCCTTTTTAAATAACACAATGCAAAACAGGCTTGAGCCCCACCCAGGGACCTGGGACAATTACATACCCCCCCCCCCCGGGCGCCTCTAAGAGGCAATACTTTCCCTGTCGCAAGCACAGAGTCTGAGTGTAGCAAAAGCCTTTTAATAAAGGAGGAAAACAATGTTCATTATGTTGGGGAAACACCACAAACAGGATTCATAACACAAACCATGTGCAAAAGACCCACCCCCAAGTAAGTTTGACAGTGTCCTTTTCCCCTCAGGGTCTTAAGTCCAGCAACCCAAAAGTCACCCCACCCACAGTTTCTGTCCTTGGTCAGTGCAGCTCCAGAGTTCAGAAGCTCATCAACAGAGTTCACCTCCCAGCCTGGGTGGAAGTAGGGGGAGGTATGGGGGCATCTTACATGCTCCACTCCTTGGGTCGACAGCCAATTGCCACACCTCTCCATGGGATTCTGCTGCAGTCTTCACTACCTGCTGGCTGCTCACCAATATGTCTTCAGCCCCCTCCCCTCACACTTAACAGCTAAAATCACTGAGAGCTATGTTAGTAGGGCAGCCTCAGTGCTGGTGCACTCAACCACTAGTTCAAAGTAGGTCTAATGTTTATACCTAGGTATCAATGATTTCAGCTCTGCAGCATGTAACAAGACTCCTTATGGAGTCAAAATTAGCTCTGTTACACAGTGGAGAGAGGAGGGGGTCAAAGTGGTGTTTGTACCTGGTAGTGTGGGCCCCAAATACCTATTGCCAGCCTCTCTCAATTCACTGGGCTTTGGAACCCATGTCCCTTGCCTAGCGAGTGCTACTTAGTTGAGGGCGAGTCCCTCCACCATAAAATGCCAAGTACAGTTCTACTATCCTTGATTCATGTAACCAGGATAACAACACTTTATTACTCCTGCCCCTATAACAAAGACTGAGAATCGCACAGCAGCCAAAGTGACCATTTGAGCAAGCAGTCCCATCATGCTAGGCAGAGTGGGTGTGCCCAGGCAAACGAGATCAGCCCCTGAAGTCCTTTTCCACAGCTCACCACCAGATGTCAGAGTAGAGCTCATTCTAACTCTGCTTACATGCACATATGCCTTCGATTGGAAATTTCCATTCGACTTGTCAATGCACCCTACATGGCCTCATGCTCCACACTGAGGCTACATTCAAGCTGGACAGGTGAATCACCCTTAGTTCCTTTTCATCCACCTTAGCCTGAGATGGAGCTCTAGCATGTCCACCTTGAGTGTGCCTCATTTATTAAAATTTTATTGTCTTAACTTAGTATAGCTGTATAGTTTAGTTTTTACATTTTTTTTCTCCTTCCTTTCAGGAGGTTTGCTTTCCTGGGGAGGGCATGTCCACCTCTTTTTAAATGGTGCCTCACTTGTCAGTAGACCATCCCGGCTAGCAATGACCACTCCAAGTGTGTTTACTGCCTGGAAGACTTGTATGTCCCACTGAAGCATAACTTCTGTTTCACCCTTAAATTCAGGGTGAGGAAGAACTGGAAGATCAAGCTGAGGCTTATGATGGCATGTTCTTTTCTCTGCTTCAGAGGCAGGTCAGGAGACTTCCCCCTCTAGTACATCAGTCTCCAGACACATCCAGTGTCCTGTCAACCTCAGTTCATCACTCCCCCAGAAAAGGGAAGGCTTCTGAGACCTCCAGAAGCCCAGGAAGAGGAACTCCAACTCACCTTGCAGGGAGTCTCTTCCTAAAAGATCTCGATCTCCCACTGGGTCAATGGTCTCAGGATCATCAACCTCTCTGCCCAGTACCATTCAGGCTACCCTGGCAGTACCAGTGGAGCCAGGAAACTCCATAGCTCTTCTAAGAGCAAACTCAGCTCCAAGCAAGCTTTAGTACCATCTGGGCATGTCAGAGATGGCAAGGAGAGACATTCCTCCAGCTGTACTACTGTACACAACCCTACCTCCTGTACTGCCCCATGACAGGTCCCTTGGTATACTGTAAGTTGAAGCATCTGCCTCTGTCTGTGTCCTTGTCAGAGCAATCCAAACCCTTGGTACTGTCCACTTAGAGAGCGATCATCACATTGGTACCATTGCTTTATTTGGTACCTCAAAAAGTTAGGTACTTGAAGGAGTTGACTGTAGCAGAGGAACAGGAGTTGCTGCTGATCATGGGCACCAAATGCCTTTTGGCACCGAGACCCGCTTGGTCACCAGACATTCAGCTGTCACCAGTACTGCCTGACTCCTTGCACCGTTTTCAGCTGGGACTCTTCCTCCTCATAGTTCAATGGAAGATGAAGGGGACCTCCAATGAGTCCAGTCAGCCTCTCCTATTTCGGTGTAGGGCTCTCCCACCCACCTTCATAGGAACCCATTCCATGTTAGTCATAGAGACAAGGAGGAAGCCTGGGAAGGTCACCCCAAATGGTGGGGACAATCCTGGATGCCACCTCCTCTCCCATATGGAGCCCCACAATGGCCATATTGAGATCCCTGGGCTGCCTGCAAACAGCAATTTTATGGGGCTCTGAGCCTAGCCCACTGGGATGATAGGGAGACACAATCTTTACCACCTCAAACCATTCCCTAGCAGGAAAAGACGGAACACAAAGCTAGGACAGATAAGGAGACCACCCCTCAAAAGTACCATAAGAACGGCTATACTGGGTCAGACCAAAGGTCAGTATCCTGTCTTCCAACAGTGGCCAATGCCAGGTGCTTCAGAGGGAATGAACAGAAGAGGTAATCATCAAGTGATCTGTTCCCCTTTCCTAGCTTCTGGCAAACAGAGGTTAGGGACATCATCCCCAGTCCATCCTGGCTAATAGCCATGGATGGACCTATCCTCCATGAATTTATCTAGTTCCTTTTTGAACACTGTTATAGTCTTGGCCTTCACTACATTCTCTGGCCAGGAGATCCACAGGTTGACTGTACATTGTGTGAAGAAATATATCCTTTTGTTTGTTTTGAACCTGCTGCCTATTAATTTCATTTGGTGATCTCTAGTTCTTGTGTAATGAGAAGAGTAAATAACACTTTCTTATTTACTTTCTCCACACCAGTCATGATTTTATAGATCTCTATCATATCCCCCCTTAGTCGTTTCTTTTCCAAGCTGAAAAGTCCCAGTCTTATTAATCTCTCCTCATATCGAAGCTGTCCTATAACCCTAATTTTTGTTGTCCTTTTCTCAGTCTTTTCCAATTCCAATACATCTTTTATGAGAAGGGGTGACCACAACCACATCTGCAAGTGGTATTCAAGATGTGGGCATACCATGGATTTCTATAGAGACAATAGATATTTTCTGTTTTATTATCAATCCTTTTCTTAATTATTACCAACATTCTGGTCACTTTTTTTGACTGCTGCTGCACATTGAGCAGATGTTTTCAGAGAACTAGCCACAATGACTCAAAGATCTTTCTTGAGTGGTTACAGCTAATTTAGACCCCATCATTTTATATGTATACTTGGGATTATGTTTTCCAATGTGCATTACTTTGCATTTTTTAACACTGAATTTCATCTGCCATTTTGTTGCCTAGTCACCCAGTTTTGTGAGATCTCTTTATAACTCTTCAGTCTACTCAAGATAGTTAAGTCCAAAGCAGTCTTGTGTCACTGGCAAATTTTGCCACCTCACTGTTTACCCCTTTTTCCAGATAATTTATGAATATGTTGAATAGGACTGGTCCCAGTATAGACCCTTGGAGGACACCACTATTTACCTCTCTCCATTCTGAAAACTGACCATTTATTCCTGCCCTTTTGTTTCTTATCTTTTAATCAGCACTCACCAGATGAAGTGGTAATGCCCTCTCCTCCATCAATGGCTGATGAATTTAGACATTCCAAGATGTCATTTAAATGAGTGGCAGACTCCCTTCAGATACTACTAGTCTGAATTTTTTTCTTTTGATATCCTCTTCACAATTCCTGTTCTTCAATACTGGTCCTCCAAGGTACACAATTTTCCCCCCCATGTGTTCTGGTTTTTTGCCTCGGAGTTTGATCTTGTCTTCCACTTGCCATAATTTTTCTCTTCACCATGGTGTTCTTCAGTCTGACTTTTCTGCTTTCCTGATCTACCTTGTCAATTATCTATAATCCTTCTTGGTCAATATTGTATGAGAATCTAAGGTTATGCATTATCCTAAAACGTAATATAACTCCTCCTGTTTCATCTCTCAGTACTACACTAATTAATGCTTCCAGTAACAAGGTGAACAAAACTGATTATAGTGTGTATCCTTGCCTCACTCCTATGGCTGTCCTGATCCACTCTGCTTCGTGTCTACTCTTACTGCACTCATCAACTTGCTGTAGAAGTTTTCTTTGAGATGCCATGTATTCTCATAAGTTGCCATAACTGTTTCTGCCAAGTGCTGTCAAAAGCCTGTTTTGAAGTCTATACAGTTGTTAG